GGTCCTGTTGGGTGAAGGTGCTGAGTTGGCAGTCATACAGAGTTCATTGAGATAAGGTTTGGGGAACAGATATCATAAGACTTGAGTCACAGGGGTGAGGAATTGGGAGGAATTTGAATTGGCAGTCAAGGGGTGAGGAATTAGAAGGAATTTGAGTTGGCAGTCAAGGGGTGAGGAATTGGGAGGAATTCGAGTTGGCAGTCAAGGGGTGAGGAATTAGAAGGAATTTGAGTTGGCAGTCAAGGGGTGAGGAATTGGGAGGAATTCGAGTTGGCAGTCATGGGGTGATGAATTGGGAGGGGTCGGTGCATACAGAGCAGGAACTCGGCAAGGTTAGAAGGGCAACAAAATGGAGTCAATTTTGACAGGGTACAACAGTTTTGGGGACAATGAAATTGGGTAAGATACAATCCCTAACTTCTGGGAACCCACAGTCTAGTCTTGGCAGCGCGACCACTGTTCAGTCACAGTGGTGCTCTCTGGTAGTTGGCTTTTCTGTTGCTGGGCAAAATGCCCGGCATGGCACCTTAAAGGAGGAGAGGCTGCATCTGGGTCGTGGCCCAGGCGCTTCTGTCCCTGGCGGGCTGCTGCAGGCAGCAGTGGCGTGGTGGCTGGCGCCGAACAGGGCCAGAAACCCAGTGCACAGCAGCCAGGAGCAGCGGCAGCGAGGAGGGGGCCGGCGCCAGACTCACACTCTCGGGCCACCTGGCACACCTGAGTGGGCTTTGCTAATCTCCGGGCAGCTCCCACACTGGTCGTGGACAGTCCAGCTTGACTGTCACATGTAAGGACAGGGACAGCATTCTGGTGGAACAAGTATTACCATTCCCAAAGGAAGTAAGGGCGAGAGCTTCGTAGACCAAGTTCCTGAGTGTTGGAATAGGAATTTACACTGACCTTTCTCCATTAGTGCATGTTATCTTACTAATGCCATCGAGAGAACTGGTAATGTGTCTTTTTGCCAAAGTGGAGAATGATGCTCAGGTCAGTTTGGGAGATTTGCTTGTGTGGAGAGCTTGTACGCTGTACACTGCAGTGTGTAACCCACTTCTCTACTTGCAGCCTGCAGTTCTCCTTCCCAAGTATAACACAGCCTGCCTTAGATCAGATCTTTTTCACCACTCCAGTGAGCCCAAGTAGATTTGCTGGACAGCTTTGTATGGAGCAGTCTTAGGAAGCAGGGGCAGCCTCTTTATTTTATTTATTTGTTTATTTTTTTCACACTCAGCTATTTATTATTATTATTATTATTATTATTATTATTATTATTATTATTTTGGCAGAACCTGGGATTGAACCCAGGCCCTTGCATTTGCCAGGGAAGCGCTCACTCCACTGAGCCATCTCCCCGGCCCCTCAGCTATTTTATTTTTGAAAAACATTTCTAAATCCCTTTTCTGAAGAACAGATACCTTCTATAACTAACTTTGCTGGGAAAACTATCCACATGCCAAATGTAGAATTTAGAATCAGATCTTTCTCTGTACACTAAGTTAAAACCAAAATGGATTGAAGATCTAAAAAATTAGAATAGGGGCTGGAGAGATGGCCCAGCAGAATGAATGCTTGCCTGGCAAGCTCAAGGGTCCAAGTTCAATTCCTGACTCTACAAAAACAAACAAACAAAAAAGACATATACATTTAATCTGCTTGAAGTCAAAATAGGTAAGTTTTTAAAAATGTACTTAGTAAAGGGTCTGCAGGGTCTCATTACACAGGTTGGACTCATATCCTCCTGTTTTCAGACTCCCAAGCGCTGGGATTAGAGGTATGCACCACCATGCCCAGCCTTAGTCGCTGTCTCAGTGCGTACCGGGGATTGAACCCTGGTCCCTGCGTCTGACTAAGCAGATGCTTTAATGCATTGAGCTTTCTGACCAACCCTAGGTAAAAAATTTTAAGACTTATATGTAGGCAAAGAATTTTCAACAAAATTCCAGTTGCACAAGATACATGCCAAGAATGAACAAATGGTTTCACATCAAATAAAAAGCCTTCTGCACAACAAAGGAAACTACTAACAGTGAAAAGAAAAATGTACAGAATGCAAAAAAATTTTCAGCGACTCCTCAAAGGATTAATATTTAGGACATATAAAGAACTCATAAATATCACACCCCAAAATTTAAAGACCCAATTAAAAATGGGCAAGGGGCAGGCTCTTTAAATAGTTAAACCACATGGCTACTGACAGGTCCTGTGTTTATCAGATACCAGTGTTTACTTTGTACAAGTGGTTCAGTATTCTTCTCTTGGACCCAAAGGGATCAGTGTGATTTCCCCCCATATTAATTATTTTATTATTTATTATTTTATTTTGTATCCTTCTGTGTTGACTTCTATGGTCTTTTAACAGTGAGGCATTCCAAATTAAATTACAGCAAGTACACTTAACAGTGGTTCTTTCACCTTACATATTTGAAACTTACAGTTTAAAGAAGCTTTAAGAATTGTCTAAAGAAAAAGAATCATCTAGTCCATTTTGCCTGGTGTGTGCTGGGGTATGAATAGGACAGTGTGCTACAGGATTAGCTTGGAAGCAGTAGCATTTTATCTTTTTGTTTTAATTTTTTGCTGTTGATATTTATTTTGAATTGCAAATTTTTTTTTTTTTTTTTTTTTCCCCCCGTACCGGGGATTGAATTTAGGACCCTGTGCTTGCCAGGCAAGCACTTATTTTACTGAGCTATCTCCCAGGCCCTTTGAATTGCAAATGTTAAAGGAATTGGTGACATTACTGTGATTTCCAAGGGAGCAGTGGGTTCAAATTGAGAAACACTAGTCAAATCCAGGTTTCTTGCCCAAAGGTAAAAACACTTAAAGCCCTCAGCTAAATTATTTCCCCAGGGGATAAGTAGGACAAGTCTTTGGCTCCTGATGGCCTCATTTAATTTGAAACTGATTCATTACAAGCTTCAAAAATAATATTTCTTTAAGGGGAAAGACTACATGTGTATGAATACATGTGTAAATACTTAATGTATGAAAAGCAAAGTTGGAAATCTAAAATAGGTGATAAAAATGTACTTTTTTTTTTGGTATTTAGTACAGGGTCTACAGGGTCTCACTACATAGATCAGACTCAGTGATTTTCTTGTTTTTAACCCTCCCAAGTGCTGGGATCACTGGCGTGCGCCACCACGCCCAGTCTCAGTCACCATCCCAGCACGTCCCCAGGGGGTGGGGCTGGCATGGAACACTGGGGATGGAACCGTGGCCACTAAGATGCACATTTTTAAAAAGTATGTACATTTTAATCTAATGGTTGTGAATGTATTGTTCAGTGTTTTAAGTTGGAAAATTTTGGGTTATTTGAACTCTAACATAGCAGTTTTATGTGTATTAATTATGAAACTGCCCCCTACAAATGTGTTGAAAGTTTAAAAATAAAAAAAGGTTAAACTGAGTATTAAAATTTGCTTCAAAGTTGAAATTGGGTATTTATATAAAAAATATAGTCCATGGTGAAAAAAATTTTGAATTTTTGTACTTACTTGAAAAATACTTATTACAATCATGTTGAAAAATTTAAGCATGAAAAGATATTCAGTTAAATTTTACTTTATCACTCTGTAGTTATTTAATTTTACCACCCTCAGAACATAGTAATTTTTATCAAGCTTTTTTATTTTTCCAAAAGTTAGTGTTTATATTTTTTCATGAAAATGATCACTTTATCTACATAGGCTTTAGCTGCCATTTCTAACTTCATCTCGTGATCATTCATTTTTTTACTTGGTGATCACACTGTTTAAGCAATGCCCTTGAGAGGCTGCATACTATTCCTTGCGTGATATGTCAAATTTATAGAATCAGTTCCTCGTTAATGGATGTGTTTAAACTGTCCCTTGTTCAAACAGACAGTTGGTTATAGTGACGAGCACAGGTGTAACAAATGGCCTTTGACATGTCGTGTGCATAGACATCTGGACACTGGCATTGCTGGTCGCGGGCCCTGGGTGGGAGCTGGCTTGAAGGAATTGCCCCAGGCACGCGCCGGGCGCAGCTCGCTGTCCACACGCCTGTGACCTGAGCGCCGGCTGCCTAGCGCTGTGCTTTGGTCACTGCCAGGCTGATAGAAGTGTGATGCCACACGTGGAATTTGTAATCTTACGTGTCCGTGAGCATCTTTTTATCAGCTTAGGACTTGTTCATCCTCATTTTCTGTGGCCTTTGCCTTTCTTGGTTTCATGTGTGGGGAAATTTGACCTTGTTTGTGATACCATTTGATGACATTTTACTTGGCTTTTTGTTTATCTTTCCTTCCTCATGTCTTGTGCAGAAATTTCTAGATTTTGCTGTCAGTTTGTTTTTTATTTCTTATTTCTGAGTTTGAAGTCCTTTTCTTTAGGACTATAAAAGAATTCTTTGTATTTTTTTTCTATTTTGTGTTTTAATTCTCTATATCAAAATCTTCATCTAGTAGGAATTTATTTGGGTTTGAACTATGTCATGAGGCTCTAATTTAATTCACCAAAGCTTGAATAATTCACTATGGATTTAACCACCATTTCTATCATTGGTCTACATTTTGGAATTTCCTTGTGTTTTTGCATGTTTAATTTTTTTTAATGCAAAGATTGCAATTAACTTACCAAGTTCCCCTCTCAAAAATGTCTAGTAGATACTTTTATTGGAATAATATTAATTTGTTCATTAGAGGGTTGTGGTGAATTTTAAGCTAAATGTTTGTCCTTTATATTTAGATTACACAGCAGCTAGAGAATATCTGTCTACGGATTATTGATCTTGTTATACAGAAACATGTAATCGGTAAGTTTCAGAGGTTTACTAAAAAAGGTAAACTGAGGTTTTATTTTTAAATTGATGAAATTGCAGTGCATTTTTAGCTCTTGAAATTTAATAAGATGGACAGTTTGAGAAAGAGAAATTTGGGTTCTTTGCCATTTGTGGCTATACTTTCTAATGTTAGGTACTACTTTTCATTCAGAGATAAACCTGTAATATATCCAATTAAGGATTGCTGGCCTTGGAAACTTGAAAAGACAGAGAATGTGATCAGATTTAGTTGTTTTCATTTCTTATGTCTGGATTTGGGGTGACTTTTTCTCTTCAGGATTATTAAATAACTCATGTTTTTCCACTTCTCTTTTGGTTGTTTGAAGTTGAGGCTGGCCTTGAACTCACTATGTAGCCTCGGCTGGCCTTGAACTCACTATGTAGCCTCGGCTGGCCTTGAACTCATGCTGATCCTCCTGTCTCTGGGATTGCAGGCATGTGCTACCACACCTGGCTGTTAGTTTCTATTTTGTGCTTTCTCTGCCTCCTACTTTCATCTAGTAGGAATTTATTTTGCTATGACATTCTCTGGTAGGACAGAGAAGGAGATTGTGTTTTTAGAGATGAAGAAGTAGGATGAGGCTTAGATAGCTTACTCTACTTTCACCTGAAATTGAACAGTGGTTAAAAACAGGCATTTTTCTTGCCAGAAGTGGGAATTGTTGCCCTGTTATAGCTGACTTCTGCGTGGAAGTAGCTAATGGCAGATGTGACAGGCTGGGTATTTTGGAGAGTGTGTAGAGTACCTAAGCACTTTGAAGTTGGCAGCCCCACGTCACCTGGGTGTGAGAGATTCCAGTTGTATAGGAATGTGGAAGAAGAGCAGGTGACCACTGTCTCCAGCCATCTCCTGTCACTGCATCAGTAAAAGTTGAGCAGCATGTCTTAAGTATTTGAATATTACTTGAGTGAAATGTGGTGTGTATATACAATGGAAGTACTTAGAGAAAGAAAAGAAAATCGTATGTTTGTGACAACCTGGATGAACCTGCAGGACATAATGCTGAGTGAAATAAGCCAGCACAGAAAGGCAGATGCCACAAAGTCACTTACATGGACCCTAAAAGAGTTGAGTTTGAAAAACTAGGATGGTGGTTGCTGAGGGCTGGGGCCTGGGGGTGCTGCTCAGGGTGCATGGCTGGCGTTGGCAGTGTGTTGTGGACTGGAAAGCGGCTAATAGTTGTGGTCTCACAACAAACCTGGGTGTATGAAATAACGGTGACATTAATTAACTGGATTTAGCCAGTCTACAGAATGGATATATTTCAAAACATTTTGTTAAACACCATCAATATATATAATTTTCATTTGTCAATTAAAATGAAAGTATAATAACTTTAAAAGAATTTGTCAGTAGAGATTGGTGCTTTCCCAGGCTTGGAAGTGAGGAGGAGGGTGAGTTTTTGGGCAGGGAGAAGGTTTCACATCTGTCCAAGGTGGAAGACTGTGCAGAGTGAGCCCCGGAGTAAGGGTGTTCATTAATGGTGACATTAATGGTGACAGAGGAACGTTGGTGCTGCTTTCCTGGCTTATTTCATGCAGCACAGTGACCTCAAGGTCTGTCTGTGTTGTAATCGTGGACGTGCAATGCCCTTTCTGGAAGTGGAGTTTCTATCCTGAATATGGGCCATCTTTTATTCAGTCCCTTAGGCCTTTCTATATCTTGGCTGCTTCAAGATCTTGGTTTTATGAATAAATATTGAGTAGTGAGATAGATGAATCCTATGGTAGTTCTCAGATTTTAACTTTTGAGGAATGTGTATATTGTTTTCTGCAGTGGCTGCCCAAGTATACATTCCCACTGATAAGAATTCCCTTTCCAACACTTATCCTGTGTCTTTTTTTTTTTTTTTTTTTTAAATCATAGCCATCCTGACAACTATGAGTGATATATCCTTGTGATTTTAATTTGGCTCATGTTGAGCATTTTTCTTTTTTGAGACATTCTTTTAAATTGTATGACTGGCTGCAAATTTTGCAGTTGTGCCTCAGCCTCCCAAGTAGCTCAGTGAGCCACTAAGCCTAGCTTATGTTGACCAGCTTTGCATGTACTTGCTAAACATGTGTATGTTTTGGGGTGTGTCAGTGTTGCCTAGCCTGGCCTTGAACTCTTGGACTCTAGTCATCCTCCAGCCTCCTGAGTAGCTGGGAGTATGGTGCATGACCCCATGCCTGGTTCCTATTTTTAAATAATTTATTGTCTTTTTTCCTCTGTGTTTGGGACCGGATCTATAGGGTCTGCAGGGTCTCACTACATAGATCGGACTCCTATTCTCAGCCTCTGAAACGCTGGGATTACAGGCATGCACCACAATTCCCAGGTTTTTTTTTAGGGAAGGTCTACAAGGTGCTCAGTGTCCCCCTATTAGATCGGACTTGTAGTGATCCACCTGTTTACAGCCTCTCAAGAGCTGGGATTACAGGTGCGCAGCATCATGCCCAGTCTCAATTGCCCTCTCAGTGTGCCCCAGAGGTAGAACCGGCCAGGCAGGCCTGGGTATCAAACTCCTAGCCCCTGTACTCTGCCTAAGTAGGCGCTTTAGTCCTCTATCCGGCCAGCCTGATTTATTGTCTTGCTGGAGAGTTCCTAATGTAGTTAACATTAGTTGTTTGTCATATCCATTGCAAATATTTCCTTGCATTCTTCAGGTTGTCTTTTCTCATTCCCTTTGTTATGCAGAAATCATTTACGTTGATATAATCCCATTTGTATTTTGGTTTTGTTTCCTATCTCTTTGGGGTTGTATCAAAAACACTGTCCAGATCAGTGTCATGGAGCTTCCCCCCTATATTTTCTTCTAGTAGTTTTATAGTTTCAGTGCTAATGTTGATTTACACCGTTTTGAGTTGATTTTTATGTGTGTTATGAGATGAGTCTCATTCATTTGAACACAGACATCCTGTCTTGCCACCATCATCTGTTGAGGAGACTGTCCCTCCCCTGTGTCCTCTTCTCAGAAAATGTGTTGACTGGAAATGTGTGGATTTGTTTCTGGTGCTCTATACTGTTCTGTTGGTCTGTTTATCTGCTTTAATGCTATGCTAGAACTTTCAGGAATCCTGTATGCATATAATTTGTTGTTCTACAAGTGATTGTTCCTAGTATCTGTAATTTCTATCTTATTTTGCTTTCAGTAAGGCAAGTAATATGTATTAATAGCTTCTGAGTGTATTGTTTTAGTACAAAAATATTCAAGTTTCTAGGTTATTAGTTCCCTTTATGATAGAAAATAAAAACAAAACAAAGTCCAGGTTAGACTTTGCTCAGAAGCATGGTAAGAGTTGTTTGAAATTTTTTTTATTGAGGCTTGTATTTTCTGATTGTGCACTTAGGTAAGTTTACTTTTCACTCGTGATGATCCTAATAAATTTGTGTGTGAACGCAAGAACATTTTCTTTGTGTGCTGCTTTATAGTGAGTATAACCCTTTTGAGGCCAGGTGGAGAATTCCAGCATATATATTTGTTTCATAAATTGAAAAACTGCACAGGATATAGTTGTTTGTAAGCATATATGTGAGCTGGGCAGATATTTTAACCCTGTGTAATTAAACTTCCCAGAGAACACTGCTAATCATTTATTTTTATTTATTGTTTTATTTTTTTATTGCTAATCATTTATAAATGTAAAGTCTCCTGCATGAGTAAGATGTGATCGTGAATTCCTACTCATATGCATTTCTAATATGATTTTATAAGTATAAACCATATTTCATACATTATAAAGTTTTTATTTTATAAGAACTTGTAATAACCACACCTGCTTGCCTTACTGAGGGGGCAGCAGGCGTGGTGAGCCCAGCAGCCGGCGACCCTGCCTCCTGCTGCAGCCCCGGGGCGCGGGCGCTGTGGGCGTGCAGTCCCCTGGGTGAGTGCTGTGGAAGCTTTGCTGTTGCCTGCCGTTGTGACTGCGCGTTGTCTTCTTTCTAGAATTCTATGAAGAAATCCTCTCCCTGGCGTACAGTCTAACCTGCCACACCATCTCCCCTCAGATGTGGCAGCTTCTAAGTATTTTATACGAAGTGTTCCAGCAGGATTGCTTCGAATACTTCACAGGTACAGTTTTGGTCATGTACTGGGTTTGCTTTTCTGTATCTCAATATTACTTTGCTATGTGAAGTAAAAACCCACAGAGTCCAGTACTAGTCAGGAGATGTTTTCATTTTCTTATCAAAGGGTGGAATTATTATAGCCGTGCTTTTGAGTATATAGCCAGTGGAGGTAGGTGGTATTTCTTTCTTTTTTCTTCAATGTTAAAGATCCGACCTAGCTAGTGCCTTTGTACAAGGCAATGTCTTGCTCAGTCACCAGGTTGCCCAGGGTGGGCTTGAACTTGGAATCCTCCTGCCTCAGCCTCCCACAGTTCAGGGATTAGAGGCCTGAACCATGATACTCAGTTTGTTATGTCCTTAGTTAGTTTTCTCCAGAGTGTGTTTTATTTTTTGAGACAAGGTCTCACTGTCTTGTGCAGGCTGGCCTTGAACTTGCTTATGTAGCCCAGGGTGGCCTTGTACTCATGGTGATGGTCCTGCTTCCGCCTCCCGGCACTGAAATCACAGGCATGCGCCCGAAAGACTCCCCTGGGAATCTTTTCTGCATGCTAGCTGTATTCTGGGCACTGTGCTGAGCTCAGCAGTATAGCAGCGAGCTTCCATAGTCCTAGTGAAGCTTATATTCTGGTGGGAAGAGGTAGAGGAAGCTCTGAGGTGAACAAGCAAGAAGCTTTACGGTGCGTCAGATGGTGATGAGTGCGGTGGAAAAGAAGAAAATGATGTGGAGCAGTCAGTTGGGATCTTTCTGCCCCACACTGAGCATTCTGTTTGCTAGACAGAAATGTGGCCTGGGGAAGTTTGTCTCTACTCCTGGTGCAGAAGCTCATTGGCATTTTGAATTTTCTCCCCAGACATGATGCCTCTCCTGCATAATTATGTGACAATAGATACAAATACCCTGCTCTCCAATTCGAAGCATTTGGAAGTCATCTTTACGATGTGTAGAAAGGTAAGTGTGGCCTTTCAGTTGTCCCAGTGTTCTTGCTGGTGTTGAAGGCTTTCAGCTGCTTTCTTACTGTGGTCTGCATTAACTGGTCACTGCATGTTTAGCAGTTTGCCTCTCCAGAATGTGCTTGCGACTGTTGTAATTTGAAAGCTTCACGATATGTGTTGTGGCTACAGTGTGTAGCACTTTAATGTCTATGTACTTTTTACCTCTCAAAGTAACTATAGTCATTTCTTGTTGTCATCCGTGGAACCGGTGCCAGGGTCCAGCTGCTCAGGTCCTCTAAGGAAGATGGAGCGGTGTCTGCTTAGAACCTGTGTCCACCCTCCTGTGCTCTTCAGGTCATGGCTTAGCCATGCAGTTTGCCAACCTATGACCAAAAGGCACTTTTTCCACTAGGTCAGTGTGTGTATTGGAATCCGTGAGATGTAGGCAGTTTCAACGTGAACATGTGAGGCAAAGCAGTTGTGATGCTGTCATTGGAGAAGAACGCCATTTAGCGCCCACAAGATGGTTTGTAATCCTTATTGTGGCTGTTGTTACATTTATGCCCAGACATAGTAGTTCACTGTGTATGTTTGCCACAGTTAGACCTGCTCCACTGTCAGTTACACCTTGGGATCTTTGATGACTAAACGTTTTCCTCTCCTCTTAGTGAATCTCTATGTCTGTCTGTTTGTCTCTCTCTCTCTCTCAAATATAAAATTGGATTTTTCAGAGACAAGGCAGGCAGATTTCAGAAATTTCAAATAGCCAGAAACCAAAATGTTTGCTGTATAGTAGGAAATAAAATAACAAATGTACAACCCCGTGCGCTACTGGAGGACTCGTATTTCCAGGGTCTGGCAAGAGCTCTGAAGTAGTATATCTGGTGTAGGACCCAGTTCAGTTATAAAAAGTCTGTTGAATTTTGGGAAGTAAATTTCACGTTTAAGCCAAAGTGTTTGAGTGATGTTTAAGAAGGCTCCCGTAGCTTTGTGATAATCCGTTTTCATCCATTGTAACCCAGTCTCCAGTTTCCCTCTTAGCTGTTGTTTGCTTTAGTGCTCATACTTGCTGAATTCTTAAAATAGAGCAGGTATTTCCAGAGCACTTTCTACATATTAACTTACTTCATCTTAGGAGGGAGGTGTCACATTTTTATCAATGAGGAAACAGAGCTAAAATTTCTTCACCATGCCTGACTTTTAGGAAATTGTTGTACGTCATGTAGCTACTGGGTGTGGGAGGCAGATGAACCCAGTAGACTGGCTCTAGGGCTCCCCTCTTTTCATTCCAAGATTTTCTGGCCAGCCAAATAACTCAGTGGATTAAAGCGCCTGCAAGCAGGTGCAGGGGTCTGGGGTTCAATCCCCGGGCCTGCCATTGTGGCCCCATCCCTGGGGCGCGCTGAGACCACAATTGAGACTGGGTGTGGTGGCGTACGCCTGTAATCCCAGCTCTTGGGAGTCTGTAAACAGGCGGATCACTATGAGTCCAATCTAGTAGGGAGACCCTGAACATCCTGTAACCCTTCCCTAAAATACAAGGAAAAAAAAACAACCAAAATTTATGTTATTTCTTTCTGTTTTGGCAAGCAGAAATTCATCAGACAAGCCCTCAAGCGGATGCACTTTTGGGAAAAGGAATAAATTATTCATTCTCCCTCACCCTGTCCCACAAAGTGGGATGGGATGGGCGTGAACTTGGAATTCTCCTGCCTCAGCCTCCCCTGATGCAGGGATTAGAGGCCTGAGCTGTGATACCCAGTTTATTATGTCTTTAGTTAGTTTGCCCCAGAGTATATATCCATATTTTATTAGTAAGACACAGAGCCTAAGTAGCTTTTCTAACAAAAGTTTAAAAATGGCAGAGCTATGCTGATTCCAAACCTCTTTGCATTTCGGACTCTTATTGACACACTGCCGTATGGGTAGAACTTTACATTTATTTAAGTAGAGCCGATTGTCAGCTTGCCTTGCAGTTTACCAACTTGCAAAATTTACTGCTCTGTTTTTGTGGTTGAGAACCTTTAAAATTTCTTTCTGTCCTTTTAATGGCCTTGGGGAGGAAATACAGTTCAATGGGAAAGTTTAGTCTGTTTTCTTTGTCTAGAATTTCTTTTTTTTTTTGCTTTTTGAGACAGGTTCTCATTGTGCAGTTCAGGCTGGTCTTGAGTTCACAGTGTAGCGCTGGCTGGCCTCAAACTCATGACAATCCTCCTGCCTCAGGTTCCTGAAATGTGGGATTATAGGTTTGCCAAGCCTGGCTTGGAATTTTGTTTTAATTGGGTTTTCTTAAACTATATTTCTCTAGGCAATTATTCAGTGTTTTAAGTTTTAGAATGTATAAAGATTATGGAGTTCTCCATAGTGTTCTCATATTTCTTTCTAATTTGTATTTGTCTCTTGATTCCTAATATTTAAAATTTTTGCTTTCTTTGCATTTAAAAATGATTTCAGCAAAAATCGCTTGACTCATTATCTTTTTAAAATTAATCTACTTTTGTTTTCTCTGTCACTTTTTGTCTGTAATTTTCAGATCTGTTTCTTTGTATTTATCTAGTGCTTAAGTTTTAATTTAGTAATTTTCCATCTTTCTTAATTTTTAATATATAAACTCTACTCCAAATTTTATGTATGAACTTGTGCATTGTAGAATTACTTATAATTGTTAAAGTATAGATTTGATGGTAAGACAGTCTAGTAGCTGTTATAGTTTGTCTTCTGTTATATAGTACTTGTTGGTTATGCTAACTGTGGGCAATATTTGTAATTTTGAAGTCCAGGTGGGGAAATTGATGGATAAGAATTCAGAAGGGACAGAAAAGGGAGCTTGCTTATAAAGGTTTTTTTTTCTTTTTTATTATTTTGCTGTTTTTAAGCTTCATTTACCTGGATAGTTAACTCAGACAGCTTTCCTTCTAACTCCTATAGCTTTACTTTAGTTCAAAGTCAAACAAATGAATTATTCCATCTCTAGGAAATGAGGAGATATGGCAGATAGGTAGAGGCCAGTGGGCTTTATCTGTCTTCAGCCTTTTGTCTCTGGTTGTCAAGGTTGACATGACAGCCATGATTCCCGCACCTGGGTCTGTGGGAATCCACTGAGGTGGCCGTGGCTGAAGCCTGACCAGTGTGCTCAGGGCTGACCGTGTTGTGATCACTCAGGTCCTGTGCGGAGATGCTGGGGAAGACGCCGAGTGTCACGCCGCCAAACTTCTGGAAGTGATCATTCTTCAGTGCAAAGGAAGGGGCATCGACCAGGTAACAGTGTCTGGAAAGTGTCCTGCCAGACATTTACATTACGAACATACCTGCCTGATTGATACTGTGTTAAGTTTGGTGGGAAAATTTAAAAAGATAGCCTATGTAGTTTGTGCTTGCTGACACAGTCGTGCAAGTTGAAGACTATACCTTGTATTCTGAGAAAGAGATGCACAAAGAGATACTGGGTATAGTAGTTAAAGGAGACACCAGTGACATCCTGGAGGCCCCAGTGATTCAGCTGTCCCTGTGCGTGTATGGGGCTAAGGATCAACCCCGAACTCCCACGTGTAAATAAACTGCTTGTGGTATCATACCTTTCCCCTCCTTTTGTTTTTGTATGCTATTTAAGTGTGCCCTGGGCATTTACTTTTTTTTTTTTTTTAATTTGCACATGTTTGCAGTACACAGTGATAACAATGATAAACATGGGGAGTGGAACATGCACATAACACATCTTAATTTTTTCCCTACCCCTCCCCACTCCCTTCAACCCTTCCCATTTGCAAAACCTCTATTTTTATTGAAATTTTTCTCCTTCAGTTCTTTTTTGTCTCCTTGTCCTTCCTCTCCTTACCCTTCCCTCTTAATCCCTTATCTATTTGAGAAAGAGCTCCCTAACTTGTATTAATCTTCTATTCTCTCTCTCTCTTTTTATATATATATAGTATATCTCTCTCTCTTTCTCTATATAGTATATATATATCTCCTTATATAAGAAAAAACATGCAATATTTAAGCTTATGTGTCTGATATTGCTTAATGTTGTCTCAAATTGCATTCATTTACCTAGGAATGCTTCATGTTTATCTTTCTTTATGGTAGAATAGTACTCCATTGTATATAAATACCACATTTGCTTTATCTGTTCATCTGTTGATGGGGATGTAGGCCATGCAAATATTTAGCTGTCATGAGTTGTGCTGCTGTGCACGTGGGTGTGCATGAGTCCCTGCAGTGTGAGGTCTTTAACTTTTGAAGATGGTATTGGGAAGGGAAATAGCTGGGTCAGGTGGAATTTCTGGTTTTAGTTCTTTGAGGAATCTCTGCACTGATTTCACTGTGGTTCTACTAGTTTACATTTGTGTCGACAATAGAGAAGTGTTCCTTTGCCCCTGCAGCCTCACCAGCATTTATTATTACTTGATTTTTTAATGATAGCCATTATTTCTGGAGTGAGATGGAATCTCTGTGTTGTTTTAATTTGCATTTCTTTAATGGTCAGGAGTGTTGAAACTTTTCTCATGTATTTATTGGCCATTTGTACTACTTTCGAGAAGTGTCTATTTATTTCAGTTGCTCCTGAGTTATCTTTTCTAAAAATAAATTAAGGTAATGTGAAAAAAATGAAGATGTTTCTCTTGACCAATTTAAAAGTATAAAATTACACTGTTTTTATAAGTACAAATATACAAATTTTGGTAAAATTAGTTTTTGACTCTATAATTACTAAAGAGGAATGTTAAAACATTTGAGTGAAAATGTGAATTTCTCTTTTTTGTAACAGTTGTCTAATAGTGTTATTGAGGTATAATTCATCTACTATATATTTCACTCAAAGTGTACATTGTAGTGATTTTATGTTCACAGAATTCCATAATGATTGCAACAGCTTTAGAACTTTTCGTTACCCTTTCTCCCTCAAAATCCCATGGACATTTTCACCAGCCCTAGGCACTCACGGCCTTCTTACATTTTCCTGTTGTGGGTGTGTCACAGAACTGCAGTCAGTGTGGTATGTGGCCCATTCCTATAGGCTTCTGGCACTTGGAATAAGGCTCTAGGGCTCATCTGTGTGGTAATGTACATCAGGACCCTATTGGTTTGTGATACTGAATAATGTTCCATTGTATAGATATGTTCTGGTTTGTGTCTAGATGTCCGCCTAAAGCCTCATGCAGTCTTGGGCCTTTTCAGAGGTAGGTGAATCTAGAGTTTGTGATTGAATCATGATCCAATGCTGAGATTGAGGTTGTGGGTGCTACACCTACCCTAGGGTAAATAGTCTCCATACAGTGTAAGGGACAGAAAGAAGCTTGTCTGTCTTGTTGCTTTTGCTGTCTTCTGGCACTATGAACTATTGCCTTTCTGCCATGTGCCACCCTGCCTTGGAGCTTGTCAACTATGGACTGAAACCTCCACAAACTGTGAGCTAAATAAATGTTTCCTCCCTTATTTGGGATGTTGGGTATTTTGTCTTAGCAATGAGAAAAGTAACTAGGACAGAATTTGGTACCAGAGATGTGGGGTTATCGCTGTGACTGTACCTGACCACATGGCTCATGAGCCTGTGGGAGTGACTTATGGGAAGAGTGTGGAAAAGCTTGGAGATGTTGGCTGAAGAAGTAGAGCTGGTAAGCCTTAGGCTGTACAGCCTAGGGGGTTCTGCATCGGAATGTACAGTATGGGTCAGCACAGAACCCCACAAGGCTGATAGAAATCTTGCCAGTAAAGACTCAGCTTGAGGAGTTTCTGCTGGGAAGAAGGACTGCATTGGCTGTTGGACTCTAGATGATGTGTGTTGTGGCTTGGCAGAGCAAAATCAGCTGAATTTTGCTCCTGTGTAGAGACTTTACCTGAGACGGAGCTTAAGGGCAGTGAACTAATTAATCTGGCAGAAGATATTTCAAGGCAGTCGAATGTTGAGGCAGTGGCATGGCTACTGTTGGGGTTTTTTGGCTATATGTATTTTGAGAATTAAGAGTAGAAAGCCCAGCAGAATGATTTAAGACATTGTGAGTTTGGCCAGAAAAGAAGCTCAAGTAAAGCTGTAATAGAGTAGAAGAGATCTTGATTGTTGAGAAGCAACGGAATAGAAAAGATGGAGTGAGGATATCACAAGACGCTGTGGGACTCCACCTTTGCAGCCTTAAATTGCAAAAGTGGTAAGACTTTGGTTTGAGAAGAAGGCCCAAGAGCAGCCTGTTCCAGAATGGCAGCAGTCTGGGGAATTTGTTCTTCAGAATTAGATTTAGAGAGCTCAGGGATCCAGGCACTTGAGCCCTATGCTCAAGACAGGGAGCCTGGCTTCTGCTCCAGCTAGCAGCAGACCTTGCCATAATCCACATGGCACTGATTTTAGGAATATGCAGAATGCAAGATTGGGAAGGCCTCCAGATTTCAGGAGAAAGCCCGGGAGGCCAGGCAGTGCACCTCTGAGAGGGCCGTGTGTAAAGCTGTGACAGTGGAGCCAGAGGTGCAGTGGCAAGCCCAAAAGTTTGGAGAATCCAGGAACATGGATCTTCTGAGGAAGACTATAAGGAAGAAGCAGAGGGGAGGCAAACTCCCCAAGAGGGAGCCATGGGAGCTGTGACCACCAGAAGTGCGTGGGAGCAGGGCCGCCCACATGCTTTGGAGCTCACACTTGCCACAGATTGCCTCAGACACGGAACATGGAACTACAGAGTTTAATGTTTGCCCTGCTAGATTTCGAACTTGCTTTGGTCCCATTTCTTTGTGTCCCCTGTCGATGACTTTGGAATGGAAATGTCTATTTTGTGCCATTGCAAGTTGGAAGTGTTTAACTTTGTTTTCATTTGTGTTAAGGTTTACAGCTAAGAGTTTGCCTTAAATCTGAAAGGAGACTTTTCAGCAATGCTGACACTGTTAGGACTCTGATAACTCTTAGAGATGGACTAAATGTATTTTTTATAAAGAAATATGTGAGTCTTGGGGCACCAGGGGTGGATGGTATGCTTTGTGCCTAGATGCCCTCTCAGAGCCTCATGCAGTCTTAGGCTTTTTCAGAGGTAGGTGAACCTAGAGTTTGTGATTGATTCATGGTCCAGTGCTGCGATTGAGGGGGTGAGTGCCACATCTCCCCTAGGGCAGAAAGCCCTGCATACAATATAAGGGACAGAAAAAAGCTGGTCTTTTTTTTTTTT